TCTATCAAAGTGCAGGTTGACACTATATTAAGATTCAGAAATATTTGTTAAGAAAAAGTAAAAAAAGACTTTAAGACATCAGGACATAGAAATGTGCAAACTAGTGAGTGTTCCAATATTAAAGGAAAGCCTGCCTAGGCTCAAGCCACCAACATTCTTTGTGGTCTCTAAATAGTTGCATTTTACAAATTGTAGAAATTGCTCATGTATTTTTTTCTTTTGCAATATTTTGAGCACAGTCACAAGCCTTAGAATGTAACCTCTACTTGAAACGTGTGCTCAAAGTAACTGTACACACTTGAGAAACTGAACTAGTCCGCCATGCTTTGAAGTCAGCTTTGTCTACCAAAAAATGACGGCAGTGCGGCTGAGTAACGGCATCTGAAAAAGACCCTGGTTGGTTGCAAAGGAATGGATCTGATGAGGGAAAAGATGTTTCTTTTCCACCAATGAAACACATTGTGGTTGGAGAGGAGCTGGTGGGGAAAGTATAACAAATGATTTGTGTTTGTCTACTTATTGCTGGTTCGGGGCAAGTCATCTCATCTCTTGAACCTTAGCCTCCTGAACATTAAATGGGATAAAAACACCTTATATGGCAGAAAAAGAACCTTCTGTGGGTAGGAAGGACTCTAGCACAGAGTATGTATTCAGTGAGTGCAGGTTGTTAGTACTGTTTCATACCTTAAGCATGACTTACAGACAGAAAGGTCCACATTATGAGACTGTACTTGATTACTGTGAGGCTTAGGAGAGAGCAAGTATAACTAACGGCTTGCGTCTAGAAGCATGTAGGTGTGTGCCTGTGTGAGCAGTACCTGAATCCAGATCCTGTGACTGTAAGTCTGGTGCCCCCTGCGGTGCTGCCCCTCCTGGGAGATATTTCAGTGATGAGTGGAGTCAGAGACAAGGTGTACGTGAACAGCATCGCCGACTGGGATGAGTCCTTCCCATTGACCACACTCACTGCACAGGCTTGATCAGGTCCCCTGCCTATGAGAAGAGACTCAAACTGAGAATACTTCTGCCATCAGGCCCAGATTGACTGCCAAAATCCCTAATTATTTTCTTTATAATTCTGCTTTTCATATGAGCACTTCGTAATGCCCATAGGTTGTACACGAGCTAGCAAAATCCTCTAGCAATAGTTAAAAATTATCACAGAACCTATATACACTATTAACAAGGAAAGGAGAAAGAGAAAAAAAAACTCTCAGTTTTCTCTCAGAACTGCTCTTGTGGACGATTCTGCAAACCTGTCAGCTTAGTTAGTTATCTAGTCCTAGCGGGTCCAACGCTGAAAATTAGAATTGGGAAAAGGAGAGACAGAAGCATAGGCACCAGAGCAGGAAGGGGAGGAGCAAAGGAGCCCATGTAACATAAACAAAAGAAGAGGAGCCAGTGTTGAGACTCACAACCTGACAATTTTCACAGTACTGCTGCATAATTTTATCAAGATATAAACTCTAGTGTTGAAATGACAAATAAAACTGCACATCAAAAATATCAAGGAAGCAAAAAGTTCACAAAACCATAAAATATTGCTAAACTATTTGCACATAAAGCATATTCTTTATTAGTCTAAAAATCACATATATACCTTCTCAAATTTTGTTAAATAATGATGAAAAATCTTTACATGATAGGAGATAGTTGAGATTCAGAACCAATCAAATTAGCACTAACAATGTCACCATTTGACAGAAAAATTGGAGTAGGGAGAAGCCTAGTTACTTAGTTGAGGGTTAAAAAAGAAGTGGCAAAATTTGAGATTCAGGGATTACCCAGAGCTTATAATTTATTTTTTTAACCAGCAAAAATAAATAAGAACTATAATAACAGAAAATCATGTATCATGTCCCAGATATCCATCCTTCTACATATATTAACCCCACAGTAACTATGAAGAATGCCACTAAGTGAAACCCAATTGGGTACATGAAGAATCTGGGGCAGAGAGAGGTTCAAAAGCTTTCCCAAAGAAATGCTTAGGGCTCAAATCCTGTTGATGACTGCCGAAGTTCGTACACAAAAGAATTGTACTAATTCATCTTTTAAAGTTACTTTTATCTTTCGAGATTATACTATAAATACATAATTTGCACCTTTTTTCTTTCCCTCCAAACCTTCCCGTATGCCGTTCCTTGCTCTCTTTCAAGTTTATAGTTTCTCTTTCCATTAATTGTTATTATATTCATCTATGTATACATATTTACCTATAGATTTCTAAATACAACATGATCAGTCTGTGTAATGTTACTCGTGTGTATGTTTTGGGGGGCTGACCATTTGGGACTGGATAACCAGTTAGTGTGCACCTTCCTGGAGAATATTATTTGTCCCTCTCTCGGTATTTGTTAGCTGCCTTTAAAGAAAACTTAACTAACAAGAACCAAAGACATGTTCTCCATTTGAATGCCCAGTTAAGAGCCAGCCACCAATTGATGTTACAAACTGAAGTCTTCGGAGTTGCAAAGGTAGAAAGTAAAGTTCTGACCAAAATTGCTTGAAGTCAGGATGGTCATAAATCAGACTCAGCCACATCAGAAGAATTCAACAACTTGAGAAAAGAGACTAATCGTCCTTAAACTTTCATTTTTCAAAGGCTGTCATTTTTTTTGAGTACTTACCATTATTAGGTGGAATCTCACAGAACAGTGTTGTAGTGTTAGATCCAAGTTTGTCTACTGCACATTCGGAGCCACAGACCAATATAGCTGAGTTCTGTGGATCAAATCCAGTGCCTGTCACAGTCATGGTCTGGCCACCACCAAAGCTCCCTGAATCAGATAAAACTGAGTGAGTACGCAGAAAATTTTCTCTCTGTACATATTTGCTTTAGTTAAAAATCTGAAAAGGAAATTGCTTTACATGAACTTTCTTAGATTGAAGTTTATTATATTATTAATAAAACCAAATATCTTTTAATTGTAGTGTTTAAATTTTCAATGAATAAATGTTATTTCTGGTAACTTAGGTAAATAATTCTAGAAATTAAAATTTAATTTAAAAGAGATGTCACAAAGCATTTCCGAGAACTCAAGACATACATGGAACATTACTTCTTTGAGCATATTCATCATACTCTTTGGAGGTTTTTAACCACGAATTTTAAACTAGAAACATTATTTTCTGTGGAAACAACTATATTTCAGTTAAACTAAATACTATTGTAAAATTTCCTTATGTAACTTGACAATTTAAAATTGGAAAACTTTAAATGATACAGTAGGAAGAGAAATATAAAACTTATTATTTTGGAATTTTTAATTAATACACATATATTAATTAGTTGGACAAATGAAGTATTTTTATGCTTATAAGCAGTGCAAGTTATGGCAGGGCTTTAAGAATATATTTCTAAATGAGTGCTGAAATAATATAAACTATCTTATCACCTTGTCTTGGATCAATATTCTGAATATAAAGTGGGTACTCAAATACAATGGAGGAGAGGGCAGAGCCTTTTGTCTTGTGAAGCATCATAACAGGAAAAATGCCCCCTGCATGTTCTCCCACAATGCACTGTAACACACTGTCATTGACAGTAGTCACATTACACACACTGTCTTTTATCATCACTGAAACTTCCGAGATATCAAATCCAAGGTTAGACCCCATTATTTCAACTTCAGTTCCTGGTGGACCTTAAAACAAAAAGGAAACAATATAAATACATACTACATGCTAATGCTTCTATATGCACTTAAATATGTAACTTTACTGCTGTGAATAAAATAATATCCAGTTGAGCTGGGCATGCCTTTAACCCCAGCACTCTAGAGGCAGAGGCAGGTGGATCAAGACCACTGAGTTCAAGGCTAGCCCAGTCTACAGAGCAAATTCCAGGACAGAAATCCTGTCTAGAAAACCAAAACAAAACAAAATAATATCCAGTGTTTTAAAACTACATGAATAACAGTACACAGGATGTGTTAGATATATATTTTACTATAATATATAATAGCCTATTATGCATTCATTACTTATGACTTATCTTTTTAAACCGGTAGAGAAAACAGAAAGAGGGAAGAATGATCTAGAGAGGGAGCAACGGATTTCTGAGCAGGAGACTTAGCATTTTGTGCTATTTTCTCCTTTGATCATAGCAATTTTTTTGAGAATAAGCTGTACTTTCTTTTGCTCATATGTGTTCAGGAGCTGTACTTTGAGAAAAAAATATGTCATGATATGTAGTTAATTAGTTACAGTTGAAAAATAGAGGAAATGAAACTAATTTAAAGAAAATGTTGCTGTTAAGGCCTTAAATAGACACAAACCCCAAAATTTCATTTTAATCTGTTCTTTTAATTCTTTTTTTGATAAAATAATACTTTTATTTTCAACCTCCCCATGCATTCTAGTTAGTTTTAAACACCTCTTACTTTGTGTAATGGCAGTTAGGCACAACTGTCTTTGCAGGGCCAGAGATAAGGCTCAGCAGTTAAGAGCACTGGTGCTCTTCCAGAATATGGGGGTTTGATTTCCAGCATCCACATGATGGCTCACAATGGTCCCATGAGTGGCACACATACATACTTGTAAGCAAAACGCTTATACACGTAATAATAAAATAAAAATTATAACTGCCTTTGTGCTTTCATTTTCATGTGAAGTCATTGTATACATATAAAAATATTTTTGTCTATTTTTCTGCCAATCTTATATTGATTTAATTATCAAGGAAGATAGAGACTCCAAGATGATGAAGAATATTGCCCTCTTTCTCCATATACACTATTATTTTATATCAAATTACTATTATCTATAAGACCAAATACTGCACATGTGAGTTTTCTTCTTGCTTTCCAATTTCATCTCATCCAAATCTGTATTATTTGTTGTCCAAGTCATAACAAAGATGTCATTAGTTAATCATTAAGCTAATTATTCATAGTCTGCCATTTGCTGAAATTATTTAGTGAGATCTCATTTATTGAGTAAAGTTCATTGTTTTTCTCTCTTTCTTTCTTTCTTTCTTTTTTTTTTTTCTGAGACAGGGTTTCTCTGTGTAGTTTTTGGTGCCTGTCCTGGGACTAAAGGTGTGCACCAACACCGCCCAGCAAAGTTCATTGTTTTTCTAAGCAAGCCCAACAGGAATTTACTTGTTGATACCTCTGCTTATCTCTCCAATCTCACCTTCAGGTAATTAGCTAATTCCTTTGTTTGTTTGTTTGTTTGTTTGTTTTTAACATATATACATTGAGGGCAGTAAACATGAAAATTGCATAGGGTATTAAAACAGGTACCAAAATACCTAAATTTTACATGAATAGATAATGATCTTTATAGCTTATTACAAATTAAAATTTATAAGTAGTTACATTTAATTCTTATAATAAAAATTACTTCATGATTGACTAATGCAGTAAGAATTATGAAAACAGAAATAATTATGAGTCATTACCATAAAATTACACATGTTAATGAAATAGTTCATGCTAGCAATATTTTCAAATATAAGCTAAAATTGTTTTAAAAAGGTTAAAACTTTGTTTGACATTTGAAATACCATATTCTTGTAGTGTGATCTAAAGCCTGCCTCATTACTAAATAAAGCAGCTCAGGGCTCACTTTCTACTAGTTTCTTATCTGTCACAGATGTTCTTTGGAGGTCACATTCAAAGACAGAGATGGAAGGAAGAATTGTCATTGAAGCAAAAACAAACGCCATTACTTTCAGTGACATCAAATAGACATGTCACTTTATGATGAGCGGGTGCTTCCAAATAAACATATTTGCTCAGTTTTAAAGAAAAACTTAGTTGTAAACTTCCTAAAGGTGGTGAGTGCATCTTACCCACACATAATAAATATATTTCCCAGTAATACAAACTAAAAAAAGACATTTTGAATCACTTATTATATTTAACATTCTTAGTTATATATTATTAATGAATTTCTTTAATCGTTAGTAGGTAAGTATATATATAATAGTGAAATTGATGTTAAGGGAAAGAGATGTCCAAATGTCATTGTGAAGTTCACTCAGACATCAAGGCCATTGTGCTAGTTACTGTTTTGTCAACTTGACACAAGCTAGGGTCATCTGTGAAGAAGGAACCTCAGTTGAAAAAACATCTTCATTGGATTGACTGAAGGCAAGTTTATGAAGCATTTTCTTGATTAATGATTGATATGCAAAGTCCTGGGCCAGTCGGCCAGTACCAGCCATGGGCAAGTGCCACAGCTGGGCAGGTTGTCCCAGGTGGTATAAGAAAGCAGGCTGAGTAAGCCATGAAACGTAAGTCATTAAACAGTGCTCCTCCAGGGCCTCTGTTTCAGAACCTGCCTCCAAGTTCCTGCCTTTAGTACCGACTTTGACTTCTCTATATGATAGACTGTAATAAGGATGTGTTCACCAAATAAACCCTTTTCTACACAAGTTGTGTGCTGTTTTGAGTCATGATGTGTTTTCCCAGCAATAGAAAGCAAACTAAAATAGCCATTCTATTGACTTAAGTTACGCTGCAGCTGCTGTTCTAGGACCCCTCACACAGATGATGAACATTCAAATAGCATGGAGATCAGAAACTGTGGCACATGGCAAAGGATAAAATGCCATCTCCATCTAAATATGTCACTTCCTCATAAAGAATTCTGTTGTCCCAACAATAATCAGTTGGAGTTTATAGAAATAAAATACTCTGTATAATTATCAGTGTTAATAAGATCAATCATTCGTGAATGTTAATAGTTGTTTCTTGTGCCATATCAGTTTTAATGACATAAACTACTCACTTTGCTCCTAAGACAGTCATCTATTTCTCCCTCATTTGTAATTTAGGTCAAGTTGATGGACATTGTGTTCTTATATAAAAGTTGGAATTTTATATTGAGAATGCATGAAAAGAATACAAAATAGAGACTGTATAGAAATTGAATCCCATGCATTGTATTAATTGGCTGAAGTAGAACTAAGCAAATGATATACTTTAATATCATAACTCCATAATAATGAATATGACTGTATTTTTGGTTGTGAGCCTACCCTTTAACGGCTGAGCTATCCCTCCAGCCCTTTACAGGAATATGACTGTAATATGACATCAACACATTAAAAAGGTATGTAGATACTGGAGTACCTCTATTTGGGATGATTCTTTTGAGAAATGGAGTATCCTCCATGGTATATGTAAATGACAAATGTGGATAAATGACTGCATTAACAGAGATCTTCAGATTGGCTGTACCAGCTCTCCCAGCTGGGGTGCTGCAGGAGACCTCACTGGAGTTGATGAAGACAATTTGACAAGGGTTATCCCCAACAGTAACTGTGGTGTTGCCAGGAGAAAAGCCATTGCCTGTGATCCTCAAAGTGGTTCTACCAGCAATGCTTCCAGAGCTTGGTGACACAGAAGCTTCTGTTGGGCTGCTGACAGTCAGGTTTCCCAGAGCCAAGCCCTTAGACCCAACCACAACATGGAGAGAATGAAGTCCAGCAGCTAGAGGAGTCATAAGAACGGTAATGTTGTTTTGGTTAACTTCTATTGCTGTGAACTGTTGACTTCCAATAAATACAGAAATCTCTTCCAACACTGTCCCAAAACCCTCTCCTTCAATAAGGATATTTTCTGATCCTTTGATAGAGTTTGGGAAGACTCTTGTTACATAAGGAGCAATGTTTTCTAAATATGAAAAACTGCAGTTGCCCTGACATTGGGCAGGTACTCCATGTATAAGAAGGTATACAAGAACAAGCTGTTGGGGAGCAGGAGAAGTTTCACATTCAACAGCTGTGTAGCTCACAGTTAGAACTTTACATGGGAAATCCCCCATAAAGACTTCTACATCGGCAGAAGAAACCATGAATCCAGAGCCTTGGATGGTCACCCTCGTCATTCCTGTAGTTGACCCTGCTTTTGGCAACACCATATCTATGTTCGGCAAAAGTACAAATCGCCTGTCAAGTTCATTGGGCACTGTGTTGATAGCGGTGCCTAGGTTGTAAACAATCAAAGTAACAATTTCTCTGATGCCAACATCCATTGAGTTTTGAGGATCGATATGACACATAATAGTATTTTCACTACTTTCTTCTACAAGACAAGGGTAGCTACCAATTGAAACCTGGAAGACAAATGAATATGAAATAAAGTATATTAATACATAACTCTCATATGAAATTTATATTTGTATTAGCATCAATTATATTTTTAAAAAGATAACTCTGTGAAAAATTTGTATCCATAAAATTAATTTGGGGAATTGATGAAGACATATCTTAAATTGACTTGAAAAGTAATGTCATCATTGTACAAGTGTGTTAACAACTATGCTATTCACATTAGCCAAAAAGTATAAAAACTAGATGCTCATAAACTGGATGAATGAATAGACTTGATGTGATATACATGCTATACAATGAAGTATCTATTTAGCCATGAAAAGAAATGAAGTACTGAAACATGAATGAAATTTCAAATATATTACACCAAATAAAAATAGATGTTCACAAAGAACTTTATATCATAGAAAAGTGTTCAGAATAGGCAAATCGATAGAGAAGAAAACAGATTAGTGGTTACTAGTGTGCCAAAAATGCATGAAGGAGGTGAGTGATGCCCAAGGAGATTTCTTTTATGATTACGGCATGTTCCAAAATTTTTGTTCAGTCACAGGTATACAACTCCATTAATATACTATTAAATATACACAAATATTTGTAATTGTAAACTTTAAGTGAGTAAGTAGACAGTTATAGATCATAAATCTTATGAAATTAAACTAGAAGACTGTGGTCAAAGTATCTTCTTTTCATTGAGTATGTAGACAGGGAGAAGAAGAGATTTGATTTGCTTACCTTATTAGCACATGTAAGATTACTGAAGCCATGTCCACTGATAGTTATGAGTTCATTCACTGTTCCCATAGAGGGAGTAATGTTGCTTATAGATGGCGAAATACAATTTGAAAGCTCAAAGAATAATTTATTTGAATTTTTAACCATGGTGTCATTCAGGCCACACAGGGGTTCTGTTGCTAGGCAGCCTGTTGCAGAACTTGCCAAGTACAAATTCTCTGGGCCTGCTTTAGACAAAAGAACAATCTGTAAGCCATGTACACCATCCTAAAACAAGAACTGCGTTCAGACTCCAGTTTACTTTAATGAAGGAGGCGGGTGGTTTTAAATTCTGGAGATTTGGGTATTTTTTTTTAACAGAGTAATTTTACAAAATACCCTCTAGCCTTAGGAAAAGACAAACGCAGGGTAGACCCAGTCATCTGATAGCTACTCTACAAAGGTCACTTTAAGCCTGGGTCATCTGGAGCAGTTTCCATGTTTAACCATCTTACCTGGAGCATATGTTGCTTCACTGTTTCCCACAAACAGGTGCAGGGGAATGTGCCTGGTTTCAGCTGGTAAAACGTTAATGACTCCTTGGAGAGCTATGGAGAGAGACTCATCAACATATCCGCTGCTGTAGTAATGGATTCCAGGAGAAGTAAACTGGTAGGAAAATGAACCTGCCATAAAATAAGATTGTACACAAGAAATATGAGCCATTAATGAGTCTTTGAAAACTAGGTGAGGAAATTAGAAATTATCATTTAAATGTACGAGCAGATGAAAATTTTCTTATTTTTCATGTGTCTAATGGCTCAAAAGGAAGTAGTAAAGAATGATTCACTAGCTATAAAGGGATACATATACATACATATTGTGATACCAAAAGGTGAGATCCAGCTTTATTTTTTAAGGAAAACTATAGAAAGTCAGGCCTAATTTGTCAACTTTTAAAGTAAAATAACACACAATGAAAGTATAAATATACTGTTACAAGCATAGAACAAACTAGCCAATCTGAAAGGCACATTAACTCTTAGCTGTTCTATAAGAAATGCTAATAAGCTGATTCTAATCAACAAAAGTTCATTATTTATTTTCAGATCTGTGTGACTAAAACATACAGTCCTATTTTCATTGTACTTTGCTGAATAACACATTTCAGTTTGTCAATTATCATGGCATCAATAAAATAATAAAGACCAGAATCAATTATAGTATATTTAAGATAATCGTTTATAATTATTTACAATATTTTTAAGTAGGTATAAAATGCCAGGTAAACTACTTCCTGGTTTTATTTGTATGACTAATTTATGTAAACATATTTACCAAATCTAAGAAACAGGAGCATGAT